TGCTTTGAGGCTGAGAGAGTGTGACTTGCCCAGGGTCACCCAGTGGGTGGCCCAAGAAATGTGGCTATGAAGTTGGCCCTGAAGCCACTGCCTTTCTTCCTACCTCTGCTAATGGACTGGAATTTGTGAATATATAGTTCACAAACTTTTTTTTGTGTGTGTGTGTGTTTTAAATTGCCAATGTGTCTGCTGTTGGAATGGAAGTAGTAAAATCTGGTCTATTATATATTAAGCACTTTTAAGACCAACGATTTGTTTTATTTATTTTAGCGTGAGCTCTTCTGGATATAAACCCATTTCTTCAGAAGTAGTGCCCAGAGATATGAAGAACTGAGGTGTAAAATAGATTTATGCAGTTGTGAAAATGAGATAGATAGACTGTGTCAGGACCCAGAAAGATGAAGATCACGAAATTCCCCAAATTTTCAAAGGGCTGGGCAAGGGGCTACAAATCTTTCAGGTCTTTTTGAGGGGAGGGATTTGTAGTATGTTGTGGTACCAGAGCTCTCTGACAGAAAAAGCTAAATACTGTATCTGCCCAAACTGCCAATCCCAGGATTCCATACCATGGAGCCAGGGTAGTTAAAGTGGTGTAAAATCGCTTTATTTCTTGGAATCTCTGCAGAAAAGAACAAGTTCAGTTCTGGAAGGAACTGGTGGGAACAGGAAGCCTTGAAAAATAATCAAAAATTTTGAAGCAAAAGTCTTTGGGGAGTTTAACATTGGAAGGATAAAAAGCAGACCATGGTCCAAAACACACTGCAGCAATAATCCACCTTGAGACCGCTTTAACTGTCCTGGCTCAATGCTAGGGAATTCTGGGAATTGTAGTTTTGTTAGGCATTGAGCCTTCTGTATCAGAGAGCTCTGGTGCCACAATATAAACTACAGTTCCCAGGATTCCCTAGCACTGAGCCAGGGCAGTTAAAGCAGTCTTAAACAGGATTTATCTATATTTTAAATGTTTTGGTTAATGTTGGGACTTGGGGGGGTTGGGAAGGGGATTGCTTTTTATGTAACTTCTATATTATTGTTTTCTTATTGTATTTTTTTTTTTTATTTTTATGCTTGTGACCCGCCTTGATTCCCTTTGGAAATAGACAGGCTAGAAATAATAATAATAATAATAATAATAATAATAATAATAATAATAATAATAATAATAATAATAATAATAATAATAATAATAATAATAATAATACAATAATATGGCCACAGGTGGTTTACATCTCTTTAAAGCAGGCAATGAAGATGTTGAAGTACAGTGATCCTTCCATCCACATTCACTGGGGTTAGGCGTGAAGAACCTCCTGAATGTGGGAAAACCTCAAATAATAATTATTTAAAACCCCATTATTATTATTATTATTATTATTATTATTATTATTATTATTATTATTATTATTATTATTAGGAAGTATTTATACCCCACTCACTATATTATTTCTACTTAAGAGAAGACCTCTCTGGGGATCTCCAGTCCTCCCTTGCAAATCTGTGGTCAACATCTGCCAGAAGTGGATCATAGACTCATGCTGGAGGACCTACAAATGCCTAGAGAAGAGCTTGTTCTAGGAACTTCTAGGTTCTCCAGCACAACTCTATGGTCAACTTCTGGCAAAGTTGTGCTGGAGGACCTAGAGATTCCTATAGAGAAGATATGAGTCAAAGCTGCAAATAACCAAATGCATAAAAGTCAAAGCTGCAAATGTGGAGGGACAAGTGTAGTTCCAGATGTTCCTTGGCCTAGATCAATAAGTAACCAGAATGGAGGCTGCAGTCAGGAAATCAGAAGGAGAGGAGGAATGGGAAGGGCAGCCATGAAGGAACTTGACAAGATCCTGAAGTATCAATATATACCCTTGAAAACATTGCCCTGAACTGTGGACTGTTGCCTTGAAGGCACATAAAAACATATATGCTGAAGGCAACAGATCCTTGGAAGCTAAGCAGAGTCAGCCCTGGTTAGCACTTGGATGGGGGCCCACCAATGAAACCCAGGTGCTCAAATATAGCAAAGCCACCTCTGAGGATTCCTTGCCTAAGAAAACCCTAGGAAATTCTTGGGCTCGCCCAAAATCCACAAGCAACCCAAAGGCACATGCAGACACATATCTCCTCTGAACAAGTCTTGCCAAGGAAACCCCAAAATTGGGTTGCCTTAGGGTCACCATAAGTCGGAAAGGACATGAAGGCACACGACAACAACAGATAGATAGATTGCAAAGGGATCTTGTATTATTGTTATTGTTATGACAATCTACAGATAGATTGCAAAGAGAGTGTGTAATATCTGTTGTTGTCTTGCACCTTCAAGTTGTTTGCAACTTATGGCAATCCCAAGGTGGCCCTAACCTTCGGGTTTTCTTGGCAAGATTTGCTCAGAAGAAGTTTGCCATTTCCTTCCCCTGCGGCTGAGAGTGTGTGACTTGCTCAAGGTCAACCAATGGGTTTCATGGCTGAGTTGGGAACTGAACCCTGCTTCCAGAGTCCTAGTCCAACACTCAAACCATCACACCACACTGGCTCACTCTATCTATCTATCTATCTATCTATCTATCTATCTATCTATCTATCTATCTAATCTATCTACCTATGTATCTATCCATCCTCCATGTATCTGAGGGAGTAGACTCAAGTCCAGGAAAGTTCATGCTACCAACTTCCCTTTTTCAGTTAGCCCCAAATG